TCCGGCCCGAGAGATAAGGGATTTACAGTGGAGGTATAGGGGAAAACGCAGTGGCTCTGTAAAGAGCCCTCTTAACATGAGTTTAAACAACATTAAAAACTTCTGATTCATCAGTCCACCTTTGGCAGGACTCTTTCCAAACATCCATTGCTACAGAAGTGGAAATAACCACATCTGCCATCCTGCAACGGTGCTATGACTGTCATGGTTATAAATGATGCACTTGTGTCATAGAATCTCTAGACAGCGTGGAGCTCTTCAAGTGGGATTGCTTTTTAACACTCTCATTTAAGCTGAGCCTCTGTTCCCAGCTCTGCAAAAACCTCAGACAGCCACAGAAGAAATAAAAAAAAATCAACTTAAATAAAAAGAAATAAACCTAAATAAAAACAAATAAATCTCCAATAATAGCAGGGGCAAGCCAGACCTCGCAAGTTTCAGTTCATTGACAAGACTGTTATTTATTTCCCTGACTATCTGACTTTGTTCAAGAGACACACATACTTTATAAATAAGTATAAATTATATCCATATATATAATATCTCCATATTCTTATGCTGGTAAATAAGCAGAATCACCTGTTTCACCAGCTGCATAAAAGAGAGTTTTGCATCAGTGGGGTGTGTTGGTGCGCATGCAGAAAGGGTTACTAGACAAGAAATGTTTTCTCGCTGATTTATTTGAGGTCACAACCCTCATGCAGTTAATTTAATGCATGTTTCAAACTGTAGTGGCATGAAAATGATAAGCCATCACTTCCTGAATGTAAGGATTTATGAGCTACTGCAGAGATATAAATAAGTAGAGTAAAATCTCATCATAAGATGACCCAGGAGAATGTAAGCCATTTGGGGCAGGGACCATGACAGTACATGTCTTCTGGAAAGCATAAAAGGAACCTTATGGGCACTGGAAGGTAAGGATAAGAAGAATTGATAAGGAAAGCCCGGCAGCGGGATTTGGAGTGTTTCCTCCCACATCCGCTGCTGTGAGGAGACGTCAGGAGGCGGCAGCACCGCACCACCGCCCTGATCGCTGAACTGCCCCGCACAGCTGCTCCCAACCCCGGCCGAGAGACGCGTTACAAACCTTAATTATTACGTGGAGATACAACGGTGGGGTGAACATGTGCTCATGGATGAGGTTCTGCATTTGAATACAGTTTTTCTCAGTCTACTCAGATAATATCATTAATGGGAGATTACGTCTAAGGAAAGGAAAATTTATCTACCGATTTACTAATTAAAATACTGTTTTATATAGATCGCAAATATGTTACATAAATATCACTTAATCTAACTGCAAGTCTTGTAATTTTCCCAGAGAGATGGAAATCCATCAGAACCTCGTGGCCTCAAAGAGCAGTGATGCTGCAGACACAGTCCGTGGGCTGACATCCTGGGACATACCCTGGGAGCCAGATTGCCTTCTCAGAGTTACATCAGTTTTGCTGCATCAAAAGGAACAAACTTCTTTTTCTCCAGTGACAAGGAAACACTATGTGGTCCTCGATTACTTAATTATCTAGCTGATATTTTTACTGTATTCTTTTTGAATGTCCTCTCCATTTGTTATTTTCAAACTTAATCATAGTTTTATAATGTGAACAGTTGTTCAGTTTAAACTGGATTGAGACTTTCTGCTTTGTTCATAAAGATGATGCAACAGATCTCAAGTAACAGTAACCTTTGATCATGCTTGGCACTACAGTTGAGCCACTGATCTCAAGAGAAGGAAACACTACCATTTCCGTAAAAAGTTAAATCACATGAACGTTTCAATTAACAGAAACACCCAAATAAAGAGGTTGGTTAGTTCTGAGGCAGAAGCTAAAGCTGACAAGTGGTCTGTGTATAATGTACAAATACATGCTCTACATAAAAAATTAAATAGATGACAGTTATGGAAAGTAAATAGAATTATTTCAATAATTCTGAAACTAAGATGAACTTGCTGTTCTCCATTATGGTTTGAAACTACAGAACAGTTTTCCATCCCTGTTTTTCCTCTCAGTTCTGAAACTGGGATTACTATGGCCTGCCATGGTTATTAGAAAATTCCTCTCTTCTACCCTCCTCCAAACCAAACACAGGGATTCTCCAAGATCGCTGGAGGAAAGCAGTGCTCTGCAGATCACCATTGCTGCCCACTGAGGGTTCTTACCACCACCAGTAGTATGGTTTATGCTACCAATCTGGCCTTCCTCCTACGTATTTGGAGGAATGGTGTGGCAGAAGTGACCCCCACCCATCCTGGTTGCCCAGCAGCATTAATCCCTAGAGAGGCTATAAAGGAAAGCCTACAAGGTAACATAAACATACTTGGCCCTGCACCCTGCACAGGTTTCTTCAGTCCTCAATTTCCATTACCTGCTCACCAGTTCTTATCCATAGTTGTCTTCCCAATCATGAACATCTGGGTCTATTTAAAAATTAGTTTCAAATATGTCTAGAATCATCATGTATTCATTAGCAGAAACAACTTCTCCCTCATGCTTTCTAACAGCCTTTCGGTTCCAGCAGCAGAATCTCTTATTCCTGTTCCTCTCACATTTATTCTTCAGCATTTTAATTCTCAGCCACCAAATGCTTCCATAGATGAAAAACTGGTCTGGGATTTTTCACTATTTGACACTTGACTCCTCGGGGAGGAAGAGGCTATTAGAAAAAAATCTTAATACTCAGAGAAGTCTGTAGAAATCACAGCAATTAAAGATGTTTATAAGGTCAGGTGTAGGGGGTAGATGAGGACACCATATGGTGAGCTGTGAGAAGGGGATCCTTTCTCCCTGTACATTTCCGTGCATCATAGCTAGGAAGTGTGAAATGGTGGAAGAGAGTCCCCCTACCCCTTCTTGATCTGCTTATGTTTCTGCTCTGCTGAGTCATGCTGAGCTGTGCTGCTGCAGATTCCTTCTGGTTTACACGAGGTGGGGTGTCAGCAAGGCCTGACAAGAGCAAGATTATCATCCCTGCTTTCTTTGTGTTTGAGTGTTAATATAATCCCTCTGTATGCTCCAGACTGGCAGCTGTCTCCTGTATTCCTTGATTTTTTTTTATTTACTGGTTGTAATGGTTTAAGGAAATATTGCTAGTTTTGTAAACAATCAGAAATACTAGTGGAAAGAATAAAATAATTCCTCAATCTTCTAACATGTCTGAAAACAGCTGAGAAAGATACCTAGAAATTAACTCTCAGCCCAAATCTTGCTCTTGTCCTGCACCTGCTGATGGGATCTTGGAGTTCATTTTAGAAATAATATTATTATATCTAATTTCTGCTGCAGTAGCAGCCACATCACAGAGCCACATGTTAAGTCCCAGTGTGCAAAGAACTATGATACTGTTACTCCAGTGCTCGCAGCTTCAGGTCCTGCCCAGCATCTAAGTAAGGTTAGCGGAGCTTGGCTCATTATCAAATAAATTACTACCTTTAGCAAGATAATGATCTCAAGCCTTCTGCAGTGCAGCAATACTCAACCAATGAATCATGTTCTAGAGTTGTCAGGATATGTGCTTCAAGCTTTCCCTCCTCTTTCAGACTGCTGAACTGCATAAAGAATAAACTAATACAAATCAAATAATTTGTCTTGGTTTGACTTTTCCATTTACATGTATTGTATTGTTATCATAATTTTATACCATCTTAGGTGGCACAGAAAGTAGATCCTGAACGAGATGGTGGATATGTAATATAATCTGTTGGGATGTGAGTCTTCCTTTGAAAAATGTTCAGGTCTTTCCCCTGTATCCCAGAGAAATTTTGCAGATGCATGTAAATGATAGTCACTGTAACCCCTAGTGATTTGTATTGTCCAATGTGTATTTCTATACATATACATCAGTAATTACTACCTTGTTGGGTTTTATACAGGTGATATTTAATAGGCATTTTCCCTTGGCTTAGGTGATGAATAGCTGAGATCCTGGTGAAGGAGCTGTTTTCTCTCCTCCTGCTGTTGTGAAGTTCCCAGGGGAAATAAATAATGCACAAGACAGGCTGAGTCCTGCAGATTAGAAGTAGGGAGATTTCAGTATTGCTCTTGCTGGAGATGATTTCCACAGATTAGGGCATATGACGAAGAAATGTACTAACAACACCCAGGTTGCTCATCAACCTGAATAAACTTGATTCGGACACTAAGGAAATAATACCCATACACACAAATTTACAAACACAAACCCTCTGAGTAACATTAAAAGTGTTACTTAATTCAATAAGCACTTCAGGAAATACAAAGAACGGGCTGACTTAACAGTCCCAGCTATTACTCATGAACTAGCCAGCTACAAAATAAAGCTGTGCCACCACATTTGCCTGGTGCCCTCTTGATATTGCAAAGTCTTAGTGTGGCATAACACAGAGATTGTCTCCTACCACCACATATGTCCACCATCCGAACTTAAAAAAAAAAATCAAAGCAGCAGTGGTGAAGAACGTGCAACATGCCAGACCAGTGGTAATATAAGCCAGTTGTTGCAATGCTGTGGAAAGAGGAAGGGTGCCATAAAGGGATCTATAATTTCTCTAAATCAGACAGATGTCCCTATGCTGTTGCTCAGACTTGGTGCCCTTAGTCTTCTTTGTGAAAGTGATACTTGTTGAGCAAACTTATTTCTGTGAGAAATATAAGAAGATGGCCTTCAGAATGAGGGCAGTGTTGGAAAACACTTTTGAAAAACCTTTACCGTGGCCTTTATCATTAGTTAATACTGCTGTGCCACCCCTACAAGGCCCAAGCCTGTCCAAGTTCAAAAAGCATTTGGTCAACACTCTCAGGCACATGGTGTGATTCCTGGGGTTGTCCTGTGCAGGGCCAGGAGTTGAACTCAGTGATCCCCATGGGTCCCTTCCAACTCAAGATATGCTGTGATTCTAAGGAAACTAGCATGACTTCTGTGCCTTGGAAGGATGTTAGGCATGTTAGTTTCTACTTGTGCCACCTTTGAGCAGGAAAATAGTTCGGTATCCTTGGGATCTGCTCCTTCGCTTTGATAAGAGCTGTACGCGAGGTTACGTGTTTCAGCTGCTTTCCTGACTCTCAGGCACGACCACCAGGAGGTCAGAATACATCCGAGAAGCAAGATGAGCGCATTTCCTCTCCGTCCTCCGTGCCCTCGGTACGAAACCATCTGGGAAGCTGATGGGGGGAGCCGAGGGGTAGATCAGACTGCTCGCTGCCGCCCGCCGGAGGATGGCTGGGCTCCTGGGGCTGGCGGGGGTGGTTTGAAGGAGGAGAGAAACAACAAACCAAAGAGCGGAGGGCGCCCGCTCGGGCCGGGCTGGGCGGGCTCCTGCCCCTCGCCGAGCGGAGCCGCCGCCGCCCCGACAGCGCCGGTGTGCGGGGACCGCCCCGGGAGCGGCGGCCGAGCCCGCCCGGCCCGGTGAGTGTCGTGCGGGGACCCGGGGGTCCGGGGGGTGCAGCCCCGGGGGGCGAGGGGTGCCGAGGGGTGGGGAAGGGCCGTGCCGGGCTGCCCGCAGCGGATCGCGCTGCTGTGATTGCCCCCCGGATTCTCCTTACGGAGTAACTTTTGCCTTTGGCTCGTTTTCCGTGCCTAAGCGGCTCCTCTCGGTGGGTACCGGGACACCGGCAGGATCGGGCCCCTGAGGCAGCTTGCTGCGCCCACCAAAGTTTCTGCAGAGCTTTCGGCATCCCTGTCCCTGCAGCCCAGGCGGGAGCCGAGCGCGGGGGGCAGGAGGTGCCCGCTCCCAGGGCCCCGGGAGCGGCGGGAGAGCGGCCAAAGCCCCTTGGGAGGAGCGCGGAGGGACCCTCTGCGGGACCGAGCCCGAGGGACCTCTCGGCCACCTCTCTTTGCTGGGGACATGGGGTCCTCGGGCCAGCGCTGACCTCGGGCATGTGCAGTCCATCCAGAACGCATCGCTGAGCTTTGCTGCGTGTTCAGTGTTACAGGGCATGGGCTTAAAACTTCCTTGTCTTTCTTCTGAGTTACACTACGTCTCACTAGTGAGCACAGAGAGAAGGAGTGATGTTTTCAGTAGAGCTGAAGGAGGGATATTTTCAGTAGAGCTGGTCTTCTTTTGTGTGGGCATGTTTTTGAAAGTGGCCATCATGTATTTGTAGCTCAAACCAGAGTGAGCCAGGACTGGGATAGTAGAAGTCAAGGGCTGTAAAACTGATATGCAGAACCAGAGCCTTAATGGCCCTGGCACTCCAACTTGGCCATCTGCCACTGAAGCAGTTCTCTTGGGAAATGCCATACTGAAATCCTTCAGGAAAACAGGACACGTTGCTATTGGTGTCTGTTATGTGGTCAGGCAAGATGAGCAGCAGCAGTCTCTCTAGGCGAACATTACTATTAACATGTTTTTAATGAGTACTGTAAGCCTAACCCATACTCAGCGCATCTCCTTCAGGCACCAGTGTTTGCCATGGGCTGCCAGGCAAGGACATGAGCTGCCATGAAAGCAGCACTTGGACAGGAGAGCCGCTGTAGTGTAGGATGCCTTAGTTTGCAAGGTTTTTTAGTTCAGTTTGGTGATGATGATAATTCTCCTCTGCAGCTCTGACTAAAGTGATTCTGTCTACCTTCAGAGGTATCTGCTTTTAAAAACAGTTTCTCCTTGATATATGTGAAAGATGCTCTCTCAGTCCTTAAGGAAAAGCAGAGCATAGAAATTAGGAATGGAAACTTCAAGCCTTCTCTTCCTTGTTTTCAGCACAATAGATGCTTCATGCTGCTCCCACGTGGGAAGTGCACACACGTGCATTAAGTGTGATTGCCACAGATGTGGAGAGAGGTGAATTGATTTGCCAAAGCTCAGAGAGTCAGTGTTAGTATTGGGATCAGCCTGAGGATTTCTTGGCTCCCAGCTGGTAGATGACACTTTTTTGTTTGCATGACTTGGGTGTACAGGACTCATTGGTCTGTGTTTACACTAGTGGCATCTGCAAGGAAGAGACCTGTGCACACCAAAGGCGTTGTACCTGTTTATCAAGAGCTCAGGCGGTGGCCCCTCCCCACCTAACTGTCTTCCTCTTTTTGTTGCTTGAAGCATTACAATCTACTAAGAACAACCTTTCTTTTTTTTCACACTACCCTCTCTGTCTCAAGTCAGACTAAATAGCCCTGGTCAGGGACTGGGGAACTTGGTTGTCCTTAGTAATTGTTTCAGGCCATCTGATGACTAGGGCCACCAAAAGCTGCATGTCTGCTCCCCTTTTGTTTTTTTGTTGGTTCTATGCATGGCATTAAGGGCTTTTGTGTGTTTCTGCATGATGTCTCAGAAGGATGCCAGTGCTTGTGATTCTTTTTACATGGCAATGAGTAACGGGAGAAGGGAATCTGATCTGCAGAAACCTAACACTGGTGTTCCACAAACTGATCTAAATAATTTCTGCCCTTTTTTTTAAGAAAAGCTGTATGTTTTTCAAAAGGACAATTTTAGACTGCCATTTGCAACTGTCTACCTGCTGACTGTTGTTCTGTTGTTTCAGTGTCTTGGAACTTGCTTGCAAAGTAATTAACACAACATGATATCAGGAAACACACTTAATGGGTTGTATTGTGGTGTACTTTCTTTTTTTTTTTTTGGCTCATAGCTTAAATTAGTTCCCTGAGTGCAATAGGTACGCCACAAAAGGGGTGGTTTATTTTTCTCAGTTGCATTGTTTTCTTCTGACACATCTGCATCCCCTCTAAAACAAATATCCTGGCAAAATTTAAGCTAAATTTAGCCTCTGTTGACAAGGTGAACATTAAGAAGCAGTATATGAACCCCATGAAGAGTCTGCATGAGTCTCCCAGCTGTTCTGTGCTGTCCTGTCCGGCACACTCTGCTCTGCAGAATTGCAACTGCAATCCATAGCAATGGTGCAATGGAAAAGGAAGCTGAAAAAAGCTTCTGGCTTGTCCTTTTAGGTCCCCTTTAAAATGGACTGTTGGGTGGGCCAGCTCTTTCTCTCCCAAGTGTTATTATAATCCATTTATACTGGGGAAAAAGCAGGTTTGCTGCCAGGCGGCATACTTTCCATCAGCACATGTAATTGCTGGGTGATGGAGAGAGGTAGAGACTCTGGTTTTCAGGCTGGAGGGAGCGTGACCAGGGTGTGCAGTGGGCAGCATTGTCATGTGCCCAACCATGAATTCCAGGTTTTGCAGGGATGTGAGCTCAGCTGTGTAAGCAAAACCTCCTGCCTGTTCAGTCCTCAGCGTGGGCAATAGGCAGGGAGGCAGGTAGCCAAGCTTTAAGCAGCCTGAGGAACAGAGAGCTGGCCTGGGGTGCAGCTGCAGCAGGACTCTTTTTTTAGCTTGTTTGTACTTACACACATGTGTGGGCCATGAGAAGTTGGCTGAGCCAACCTTGACCAGCAGTTCAGCAAAACAAACGGGTTTTACTGCCATGACCTGAAGGCCAGAGTAGCTGCTGAGCTTCACTGGAGCAGGGGCAGCTTTGATTTCTGTCATGGAGAGGAGGCTCTCATATAGGGCTGACTCAAAACAAACACTGTGCTGTGTTGCTCCGGCTTCCTCATGGAAGTAGTGTTAAGGCACATGCAAGACAAAGAGGTGATCCAAGACAACATGGCTTCACTAGGGACAAATCATACCTGACCTGTCTGGTGGCCTTCTATGATGGAGTGGCTGCAACATTTGGCAAGGGAAGACTGACCAGTCATCTACCTAAAATTGTGTAAGACCTTTGGCATGGTTCCACATGACATCCTGATCTCCAGAGTGGGGAGGTATGGATTGGAAAGGTTGACTGGTGGATAAGGATTTAGCTGGGTAGATGCAACCAGAGAGTTGTTGTTGTCAATGGTTCTCTGTCCAGGTGGAGGCTGGTGATGTCCCTCAGGGTTTTGTCTTGGGACTGGTGCTCTTTTATATGTTTATCAGTGACGTAGTGAGATCAAGTGCACCCTCAGCAAGTTTGCAGATGACACAAAGCTGAGCAGTGCGGTTGACACAACAGAGAGAAGGGATGTCATCCAGAGGGACCTGGACAAGTCTGGGAGGTGGACCCACAAGAATTTCATGAAATTGCACTTCTGCCAAGTGCAAGGTGCTGTACCTAGGTCAGGGCAGTCCCAGATATGAGGACAGACTGGGAGAAGAACTCGTTGAGAGCAACCCTGCAGAGAAGGACTTGGGGATTCTCATGAATGAAATGCTGTACATGACTCAGCAATGTGCACTTGAAGCCCAGAAAGCCAAATGTGTCCTGATCTCCGTCCAGAGCAGCATGGCCAGCAGGTTGAGGGAGGGGCTTCTTCCCCTCTACTCCACTCTCATGAGACTCCACTCTCATGAGACTCCACCTGCCACATCCAGTTCTGGGGTCCTCAGTACAGGAACTGTTGGAACATGTCCAAAGGAGGTCACAAAGATGATCACAGGGCTGGAGCACCTCTCCAATGAAGTCAGGCTGAGAGAGTTGAGGCTGTTCAGCCTGGAGGTTCCAGAGAGACTTCATTGCAGTCTTCTAGTACTTAAAAGGGTCTTACAAAAAGGTAGAGCAACTTTTCACATGGACAAAAAGTCATAGGACAAGGGGGAACAGTTTTAAACTAAAAGAGGAGAGACTTAGATTAGATGTTAGGAAATTTTTTGCTTGGAAGATGGTGAGGACTGGAACAGGTTGCCCAGCAAAACTGTGATTGCCCCATCCCTGAAAGTGTTCAAGGCCAGGCTGGATGGGACTTGGAGCTACATGGTCTAGTGGGTGGCATCCCTGCTTATGGCAGGGGAGTTTGAACTTGGCACTCTAAGGTCCCTTCCAGCCGAAACCATTCTGTGACTCTGTGACTGCCTCAAAGAGAGTGAGAGGAGGTTTGTGCTGGTATGTGAGGGTGCACAACAGGCACACCCACTGCTGAGAAGGACCTGCTTGTAAGTGGCCTTAGACCACCCCCTAAGGTTCAGTCAAGGTCTCTCCAACATCTATACACATATAGTTGAGGGAGACCCTAACTTAAACTCTCTCTTTTGAGATTTAAAAATTAATTTAACAAGTGAGGTTGTGCAATTCCCATAGCAGCAGTACCCACACAGCACTTCATAGTTTGTTTCCTCCAAGCAGAAGCACCTGCTGCACCTTACTGAGCCTGAGCCACCATGAGACCAGGCGTTGCTGGCCCTGAGGGCTTGCAAACATCCACTAGGATATTGTGAAGGTACAGTGCAAATCCAGACCTTTGGGGTTTGGGGTGTCTTGCTCCTGTGTTTGGCAGTCTGTGCTGTTGCTGGCAGTGTCATGGCACTGGTTGAGCAGAGGCACCTGCAGCCCTGAAAGCTGGGAGGGCAGGGCAGGGCAGAACAGAGCCCATTTGCTCAATCTGGCCTCTCAGAAGACAGAAAGAGAGAAGTGAAACTGTACACACGGTCTGGTCAAAGAAGGTACGTGGGAGGAGGGAGGCGAAGTGAAGGGGCTCGGAAGAACAAGGTTGCATCAACCTAATACCGAGCCCTTAAAATACCCAGCTCCAAAGCCCAGCTCAGCCCACACTGATCATGATTTCATCAGGCTTTGGATGACAGTTGGAAGGTTTGAAGTGGTGGTAGCAGCTGGAAATGAGGGTGGTGGATACCTGTTCCCCAGCCCATTGTGCAGCTGGGTAATATCTCCTTCATCTACCTGCAACCAACTTGTTGGGTCCTCTCCTCCTTTTGGTTGGGGGACTTTGTTTTTTTCCTGTTGCATATAAAATTTTTTCACTTCTCTCTCCTAAAATATGGTAGTTTGTCTTTTGCGGTTCAGTGTTTCACATCTTCCTGTCTGCTCTTAGACTTATTTCCTGCCTCTTCTGTATTTTCTGTTTCTCCCATTAGCTCTCTAAACCCAGCTCCCCGAGCAAGTATTTCTACCTTACAAGCTGCTTACAGCAGCCAGATGCCTTTTCTAGACAAACCAATCCCAGACAAAACTGTCCCAGCCCTTGCACTTATGCAGCTGCTAATTTGACCCTAATCCATTTTAAAAGGAGAGGGTTGGTGGGTGAGGATGGAGTCAGAGGAGGGAGGTCCTTGCTTGCCAACATGTCTGCAAGGCTGGCAGACCCACAGTGTGATCTGCACACTTTCCCATGGGAGAAGCAGCATTGTCACTCTCCCCTGATCACTTCAAACTGATTATTTCTGGTCTCTTGAGCTTTTATGATAATTTTATTAGGTAAGGGGGTGAGTTAATCTCTTTTTTAATCAATTCCTAGTTTAGATAACTGCCTTATATACCCAACTGCTGCCTGAACTTCCTCATTCATTCACTTTGTGTTTTGCAGACTTCCTGGCTGTGCTTCAGCAGTGGGTGACTGAATATAGTCTTCTCTGCATCACGGCAGCAGTAGTAATGTGAAGCCTAATGAGCACCTGCAAAGCCGTGTAGCAGGTAAGTGCTCCAGGGGTCATTCTTCCTTCCAGATTTGATGTGATTTAAAAAAGCGTCTTGATGGGCTCTCACTAGGAGATCTTGAGCCTTGCAGCAAAAATGCTGAAAGGAGATTGGTGTGGCTCATATTTTAGTAAATGTTCCCAACAGCAAGGTTCAGACAGCTTCTCGCAAAGTAAAAGTAGCAATGTTGTGAAAGTTTAATTTGGAAATGGCTTCGGTGTAGAAGATCAGTGTTAAAAGCTTCTCTCTTTTGGACTTTCAGTATAAAATTATTTTTATCTCACTGCTTGTTACGGTTGGGATCTAGTCAGAGAGTGACGGCAAAAGGGAACCAACAGGTCCAAAACTTTGCCAACATCAGCTACTGCTGCATTTTCTGTTGTGCAGGAGAACTTGCCAGAGGTACCTCACCCAGACTGGGCAAATACTAGATCCCCACTCTTCCAAGTGTTAGAGAGAGAGCAAAGGCATGGAAGTGCATGAACAGTCTCCTGATGATCAAGGGTGACAGCAGAGGCAGCCAGATTGAAGGGAAAAAAGCCACAAGCCAGCAATGTGTAGAGTTTTTGTGTTTGTATCAAAACCCCTGAAAACATGCTGAAAGGAGAACTGCTGGGTGAAACCAAGATGTCTGGTACTGCTGCTCTGCGAGTGCGTGACAGGAGGCTCTGCGGGTACCAGTGGTGGGAAGGAAAGAACTGGAGCTGATGACAGAGGGAGCCGCCAGAGAAGCAATCCTGGCTGCCACAATGTCCTGCTTTGGCTCCGAGTACCTGTTAGTTCATGTTCTCCTCATGATTTTTTTCTTTTATTTATTCTGGATCAGTGTTGGGTGGTGTCTGTCCCCTTTTTCCCATCGCAGAGTTCAAACGGCTGCTCTGCCCTAGCAAAGCTCAACTCGCAGCGTTCCCTGGCATGCTCCTCCAGCCCTGATCAAAGCTGTGAGAGCTGGCCCATTGCCATTCTCCTGTGTGTAAATGAAGCTCTTTCTCTTTCTCCTTTCCCTTCACCATCTTTCAGAGGCAGGTTTTTCTGGCTGATCTAGCACATTATTTGTATCAGTAATATTTGCCTCAAGGCAGAGATGCTTTTTCAGCATTTATAGGGAAAGCATCTGATCCATCCCACTGCCATGCTTAGAAAAACCAGGCATGGTGTTGGCAGGGATGAGGACCATTGCAGCCAACTGTTGCAGAATTTAAGCCCTGTTAGGTACAGCCTCTGACTCATATGGTTATTCTGGTTGCCTGGCAAAGGAAAACTGTTACTGTTCCTTCACTTTCAAAACCAGGGGGAAAAGCACGTAGAGAAGGTTCTTGTGTCTGACCAGTTGTAAGGTGTCAGCTGAGCCACCTGTGTAACCAACTCATCTTTCTCTGGGTTGCCTCAAGGCATGGTGGGCACAGTCAGTTGAAAAGATAGAGTTTGTGGCCAAACCCAAATGAAAACAATGTAAATTGGCTTCAGAGTGCCTTGCTTTCAGTTCTTCCAAATTGCAGAGGATTTGGTGACATATGATGAGCACCTGATGAGGAGTGGGAGCAAATGGTTCCCACAATGTCTGCAGGGAGGTGAGTAGTTCCCTAAGACAAGATACTGCCTGCCTGTGCCAGAATCCCAGCAGGGATCCAAAACAGCTTGTTTTGGAGAAAGCACATGCAGTGATAAGGAGACTTTCCTACAGGTAGGGGCAGTTAAGCAGTAGTCTAGACTGCCTTGGGAGGCAGAGATTCACTGGAAGTTTTTCAGAACAAAGTAGATAGAGACTTGCCAGAAACCATCCAGGCACAGTGTAGGCCATGCATAGGCAGAGGGAAGAAACTGTATTGCTTTTCCAGACCTCTTTTTTCCCTATTTTTTAAGTTCTTTTCTGTTAACACACACCAGAGGTGGAGCTAAGGAGATGTTCTCAAGCTTAAAAAGTGGTGCTTGATATACACACTACAGTGCTTCCCAGAGGGGCTTGGTCTTGTGTATCTTTGTCCAGAATGCTTAGATCATAGTCTATTTCCTCCTGGATGTTCAGGTACCTTACTGCCACTGGTTTCGGAGGAGAGTTTGATTCTTAAAGGCCTCTGGGGATTAAGCATCCAAATAGCTTGGGACTGTTGGAAATGTGAGGGAAAATACTTGAATTTCAGCAGCACAGACATTTCTGCACTGCAGATTGCAAGTCATTCATGGTAAGTGAAGATGACCCTTATCTTTTTCTTCCAGTCAAGTAGGGGCAAGGATGACAGGGATGTCTTCATCTTTATTTTTGGTAGCTGAAATCCACCAGCTGAGCCTCCCCTACTGTAGGCACATTGACATAAATTATCGGCACACTGGGTGACATAAGGACATAGAGCGGTACTGCAGTCCTACCTAGTGAACTGGCTATGCTCAGTCTAAGTATCATGGCCACTCTCTTCTGCTGCCAAAGTCAAAAGATGGTCTGAAGGTGCTTGGATGATGTGTGTTCCACCTCCCTGTTGACCCATAGCTGCATCGTGCTCTTGGAATAGGTGCAGGGTTATGATCTCATGCTCTGAAGGAGTTACAGGAAGAAATGTCGACTGAAAGGAACGTGTTTGTGTAGTAAGTCATCCACAACATGTGCTCTCAGCTCAGCCTTGTATTTGCTGCTAGTCCTGGATACTTTGAGTCTTCCACGTGAAGCTGGAAGCTGTCTTTACTCCTTGCTAAGCTCCCTGCCTGCTGCAGCAGAGGGGATTTTTGTGCCTATGAGCAGGGGCCCCACAGCTATGACTCACAGTTCCCATTACGTGGTAACTTAGCCTTTAAGTGTGCAGAGAGGCTGTTCCTTGGCTTTCAAACAAAGCCTTCCTTTGTTGTGCTTATGTTATAAAGGAAGCAAGCTATGTGTTCACCCCACATCCCAAATGAAAACCACGTGGCTTCACAGCCTTAATATGTGTGTTCGATAATTCTGTTACAGCAGTGCGAGTTACATTGCTTTTACCCTGTTGAGCCTTTTCTGAGTTTTTCTTCCCAGAATTCAGTTTACAAATTCCTCAAGGAAAGAAAGAGCTTAGAGATGTTTCCTTTTGTTGGTAAGAAAAGGGGACTGAGCAAAGAGCACATGAAAATTATTAAATATGGGTACATGTGGCAATAGGCTGGTCTCTGAGTCATTCCCTTGGGTGAAAATGGCTCTGAGTTGGTGGCCACGGGTGTTGAGAGAATGAGTTTCATGTAAATATTGCACGGAAGTGGGGCAGTTTGTTTTCTTGTATGACTTTGCTTTCTTCTGCTGCTTTTTATTTATTCAAACTCATTTTGAAAAGCAGGGTTAGCCAGCAGTACTCTGCAGCCAACATATTTGTGTGCATGCGTCTGTCTTGGCAGTTTTTAAGTTTATGACTAGTGAGCCAGGACTGGGATTACTGCTTCCCAAAGCATTTGTCTTGTTTCTCCTGATCTTTTCTAGAGTCACCAGGTAATAATGTAAGAGGGTCTGATTCTTCCTGCAGAGGCTCCCTGCAATGCAAAGATCAGGGAGTCATCCTAGTGGGAATCAAAGAAATGGGGCAATGCAGTTTAAAAGTGCTGTTTCTTGTTCTCTCTTCCTTCCACACCCTCTACCCATCCCTGCAGGGCCTTTCACAGTCTGTTGGGATGGGGTTTTTTTATTATTATTTTTATTTTATTTAAGGAACTATATTGTGTTTTATAAAAAAAGCTGGCATTTCAGGCAATGGAATAAAGCATTGCTTTTCATTTCTGTGGTGACGTTTTGGCTACAATAGCCAGCTTTTAAATACAGTTCCTCCCCAGTTGTTTGAATACAAACAGCAGTAACTAGTTAGCAAAACAATAGTCCAGTATCACACAAACCTTCAATCCCAGTCAGTGTTTTTGAGTCCTGTTAAAGCAGATCCTTGGGCCTGCAGGTCTCCTGACTGTCACCAAATCAAAATTGTGATGGAGTAGAAGATCTCAGATCAGCCAAATTCCCAGCTTCCAATGACAATTTCTTTTTGCCGTGTTTTTGTTCAGCGTCTCAGTGTGGAATTGTCTGGCAGCTGCTGTGCTTTCTACTGTCTGTGATATATAAGTGCTCATTTTTCCATGACTGAAATGGAACTTCATAGTTTCACATGTAAAATGTAATCATTCTGCAAGTCATGCTTGAGCCATGCCAATATCCACATGTGCTTTTCCTAGATGTGCTGGAGTGGCGTATCCCTGCTGGGAAATCAACTTTCTGATGTTTTCACCAACACTTATAATACCGAAGTGTTTGTCTCAGTGAATGTACAATGTACAGTTAAGCTGGATGTGTGAGGATGCAGAGCATATGCTTACTTTAGGGATAGGAGAGCCAGAGTAGCCACTGCCTGATTTAACAACACTGATGTGGGTTCTTTCTGCCTTGCTGAGAATTAAGTGAGGGAAAGGAGGGCAAACATCTTGGCAATTGAACTCTTTTTAGTGTTCTCACCACCTTTCCCTGAGGTGACTGCCAGACTGGATCAGTGAGCCATGGCTGCCTGCATGTGCAAGATGTTGTGTGGCTGAGGGGATGACATCCAGAGTGGGTCCCAGTGTGAGCACCAGGTGGAGGCCAGAGAGCATCTGTGCAGTGACATTGCTCCATACCTTGTGGTTGACACTATCAGACTCTTGGTAAAGCACGAGAGGTGTTGTGTCCATCTGTGCTGATGAAAGATTGTGCAAGGGAATGACCAACTATTGCCTGGGCTCCCATCACGTTGGGTTTGAGGGGGAGGTAAGGGTGGTAACTTAACTTTTTTTCCTTTGTATGTGTCTTTTCTCCTCCTAAAAAAAAATTTAAAAAAATCAAAACCAAAACCAGCAAAACCCACAAAAGTTCTGTCTACTCCAGTTGTTTTCCTCACAGTTAATAAACAAAATTTATTTGGCTTAAAAAGCCAAGCTGTTCCTGGCTGTGATCCTACTACAACAGCTCAGTACGTGGGTGGGAGCCACATACACACTTCCTACCTTTCCTCTCCTGCCTCCCCTGCTGCCAACACTGTGTTCCAATTTGTGAAATCCCTTCTTAGTCGTACGAGGGAGAACCCAGGGCACTACACAGACTGCCCATGTGCTGCTTGGTGACAAGAGCTGAGCTGGCTTACGCAGTCAAAAAGCAAAAAAACACATTCAGGCAATGGGCAGGATGCTGAGTAACACACTCCTCATGCTGTTAGCTTTGTCTTCTGGTCTCCATGGGCACCTCCTCTTGGGTCCACCTTTGCAGTGAGTAAACAGTGAGTGATCTGGAGGCATGACCTGGCTCTGTGTTTGTTTATTAGTTGTTACAGCTGCCTTTAATGGTGGCTGCTGGCTTTGGGGGCTGGAAGAGGGAGCCAGAATCATGTTTGCTTTACTGGCATGATATCTGTATGCACTGAGAAATAATGACTTAGAAATGGCCACATAAATCTCCACTTGCTGATGAAACTGAAATTCTAACATGTGCCACATCTGTGGGTTTTGGAAAAGAGACCTAGAAGGCGAATAGCTCCCCCTGAACCAGAAAGAAAACTTTGTACTCTGTAGGCTTTGGAGCAAGGGAGACCATGGCATTTTATGGCAATATCTTATAAATACATCTGTGTGCAGCGAAAGCTGACGCAGGAGGGGAGGACCTCTGAACATCCTGAGTGATACTGCAAGAAGAAAAGAAACAATCTGTGCTACTTTTACCCACAGTGGTCACTGGAATGTTAGGGCTTCAAACTGCAGCAAGGGAGAATTAATGAGGCCTGAGAAATAGCTTCCTGATGGTAAAGGTAATGAATAACTGGAAGACAAGAGAAAGAATCCCTGTCTTTCCTAAGGCAAGTCAAGCACTGCTCTGCTTGAAGAGATGCTGACAAAATCACTCCTGGTTTGGACCTGGGTCTGCATGGCAGTGTCTGCTTCCAGAGCACTGTCAGTGCCGCTGACTGCTTATCTATTCCGTGAATCCGCCTGTCCATGGGAAGGAAGGGCTATCTAGTCCAGCACACAGGATGAGCATCAGCATTTCCTTGGAAATACCTGATCTGGTGACCCCCAGGAGGAAAATATTGCTTCCGACAGTCCACAGCAGACCTGTTGGGCAGGATGTCCGACTCTGGCTGTGCGACTGACCCTGTTGGCACTGCAGCAGGCCTGGGACAGGATGTCCACGAGTGTCACAAAAGGCTAACGTGTTCTCAATCAAACAGCAAAACAATAGCTATCAGGCAAGTGGCCTTGTCCAACTGCTGTGCTGTGGCCAGCAGCTAATCTGGGGTGGGGCTTCCAGGCATGATTTGGAGGGCAGTTGCTTGGCCATACCTGACTTTTGTAGTCCCGGGCAGACCAGCTGGCTTGTTCTGGTTTTAAACGTGGTTGTGTTACCAGTCTCAACACCCAGGCCTCTGCACCTCATATATTGGTGTATTTGGTCCTTCCCCACTTGCGGCTTTGGTAGAGAGCCAAAGACAGAGCCCAATCCCACCTGTCTGTGCTGAACCAGCTGCAATTGTGCTGGCAAGTGGAATTCGGTACTTTGTCTGTAGCACCAATTTAATGCTCAAAAAACAAATCAGAACATGAGTTATCGCTGCTGTGGCTGGCACTGCTCTGTCCCAGCCAGCAGCTCATCACACCAGCATCCTGCACACAGCTTAATTCATAGCAGGGGAAAGAACAGCACAAGTTGGTGCTGCTCAGGCTCTGTACTGGATTCTTTCCCCCCTGATTGTCTTGGCTGGGCTGTGTGTGCTGCAGCTGACTGTGTGCTCAAGAGATGGGAGAGCAGGAGCCTCTCCTGGCTGCCCCGTGCTGTGTGATCTCTGGATGGGCTGTGCTGGTGCTGTCACAGCTGAGGGCAGAGTGGGAAGTGTGTGGGGGGGTTCTTTATTGCTTTGTATAGGTCTGGGACACATCCTTACTGCAGCAGTGGGGTCTTTGTCCTGGAGGATAGAAGCCAGCTGAGGAACCTCATCTAAGTGCCTGGGCTCTTGCTGCCTGTGCCAAGTGAAAGCCGGGCAGGGTCACATGTGCTAATGGGTACACTGTGGTGTGGGAGGGGTAGACTCTGCAATAGACCCTTAGTCATCCTGGGGTGTGTTTCAGTATGTGGAAGTGTTCATCTTGGCTCTCAGGGCCCTCCAGCTGCCTGAGGGTCCAGAGCCTCCCCAGATAATACTTCTTCAGTAAAAATGGTCTGAGAGCAAGA